CACGCATGCACGCACGCACGCACGCACGAACACACAAATGACATTAAAAGCTAACCTAGAAACTGTGCCACGGGCTGTCCCTTGACCTTGGCTCGGAGCATAGATGCTATGGTCCAGCCCATGCCGTACAGGGTAGACTTGCAGGAAGCCATCTTGGAGAAGTGCAGTAACTCTCACCTCAGCTTGTTAAATTTTGTACCGCACTCACTGCATTTCGATACACACTTTCTTCGTTTATAGATGTCCTTCGAATAACTCGTTAGTTTTTCCCCCCGGGAAATTGCTTGAAACGAAGAGAAACGCTGATCTCTAATAGCGTTGAGTATTTTTCTCCTTAGTAAGGAAGATACACATCTGAGGTGCAAAGCCTCATGTTGTAGTTGTTTCGAATTCCGCCTTACTTTTTCAGCTTTTTTGTACTCATTTTCAGACGATTCAGTACGTATGGTGAAGAGAGTTCCAACAGAATTTCCGAAATACTTTGAATAAAGCCTTTCCTTAACATGGTCACTCTGTCTATGTTTATAGTGACGTTTAGTGATACCATACAGCGTTGTGCAATAGAAGCCTCTCATCACCTAAGGCTGGATGTCCTTGCCATTGCCACGACATCTTGACGAGATTACCAATGTCGTTTGAGTTCAATGCCATCTTGTCCTGGGCAATATCATTATTATTATCACAGCTAATCGTCTATGCGAGGGCGGAGAGCAAGAACAAATGGTGATAATCGTGCTGAGTAGAAATGCAATCGAACCTTTGTCGAATCTCCATAGGTACGTTCTTAGACTTACTTAGGTTATTCAACGAATTAGTTTTTATGGCCTTGAGTTACTGCGGCCACTACTTTAGTTATCGCAGATGAAAATTATAATCAGAGATCCCGCGTGAAGTGTTGAAAGAGGAGCTTCCACGTGAAGTGTTGAAAGAGGTGTTAATCAAACCTGTACCATTCTAAACCATAACACAACTGACGTGAGATAATTATAATCTTTGTTTATACTTTTTTTTGGTGTCCTATTTTACCTCTTTGGACAAGGCATCATACCACGAAGTCAGTTTTACGAAATAAATACTTGCGAAGTTCACGGAAGGGTATTGACAGAGTACTCAAAGTTGGACAGGCCATTAATTTAATGAACCTCGCAAGTAAGATTACATTGTCTCTGAAATGTTGTATTGTCTCTGGAATTGTATAGATTAGTCTCTGGAATATTGTATAATCTGTCTCTAAAACATCACTGCTTTTGTCTGTGGAATGTTGTATAATGTGTCTCTATAATGTTGTATATGTTTCTGAAATGTTGTATTGTTTCTGGATGTTATATTAGTCTCTGGAATGTCGTTTAATTTGTCTCTAGAATATTATTGTAGTTACCTCGGGAATTTTGTTTTGTCGCTAGAATGTTGTCTCTAGAATATAATTGCATTTGGCTCTAGAATATTATTGTATTTGTCTCTATACGTTGTGCTTGTCTCTGGAATGATGTATTCTCTCTGGAATGTATTGTCTTTAGAATGTATTGTCTTTAGAATGTTGTATTGCCTCTAGAATGTTGTATTGTCTCTATAATGTTGTGATAGTCTCTAGAATGTATTGCCTCTAGAATGTACTGCCTCTAGAATGTTGTATTGTCTCTAGAATGTATTGTCTCTAGAAGGTTGTGTTGTCTCTAGAAGGTTGTATTGTCTCTAGAATGTATTGTTTCTAGAATGTATTGTCTCTAGAATTTAATACTGTCTTCAGAATGTATTGTCTCTATAATGTTGTATTGTCTCTAGAATGTTGCATTGTCTCTAGAATGTATTGTCTCTAGAATGTATTGTCTCTAGAATGTTGTACGGTCTCTAGAATATATTGTCTCTAGAATGTATCGTCTCTAGAATGTATTGTCTCTAGAATGTTGTATTGTCTCTAGAATGTTGTATTGTCTCTAGAATGTATTGTCTCTAGAATATTGTTGTCTCTAGAATGTTGTATTTTCCCTCGAATGTTGCATTTTTCTGTAGAATGCTATTGTATTTGTCTCTATAATATTACTGTATTTGTCTGAGGAATGTTGTACTTGTCTCTATGACATTATTTTATTTGTCTCTTAACTGTAGTAAAATGTATTTTTCTTTGGAATATTATTGTATTTGTCTCAGGAGTGCTGCATTTGTTTCTGGAATATTACCGTCTGTGTCTGTTTCTGGGATGTTGCATTACTATCATAGTTATTATTATTATTATTATTATTATTATTATTATTATTATTATTATTATTATTATTATTATTATTATTATTATTATTGATTCTGTTGTTGTTATTATTATATCATAATTATCATCACTGTTATCTTCATCGTTATTATTGTTACTATTATTATTATTATTATTATTATTATTATTATTATTATTACTGTAGTTATTTTTTTAAAATTATTATTATTATCATTATTTTTGCAGTTGTTTTTGTTGTTATTAGAAGTGATTAAAATTGAGATAATCTTGCCGAATGGCCATTCGGACCACGTTCAGGTAGCACGTGAGATGGGTTGCACGAGTGTGTTTGCGTGTGTGCGTAAGTGTGTGTGTGTGTGTGTGTGTGTATGTGTGTGCATGTGTGTGTGCGTGTGTGCGTGTGTGTGTGTATGTATGTATGTTTGTTTGCTTTTGTGTGTGTTATGGGGTAAAAATTACGCCTGTTCTCGTTGCATACGGAATTTCTTTAGAACTGGGGTTGTGTTGTGTGTGTGTGTGTTTTTTTTTTTACCTTTTATCAAAAAGGTCATTTTTCATCTAAGCTTTAGTTTTCTCCCAAATAGAATCAAAATCGCATGTAATTAAAATTAAGAAAATGTTCCTTTTTTCTTGCACAAAAATGTTACAAACAGTTTATTTGTATACTTCTCCAAAAGGCTGGGAGGGTAATGTCGGATTTTTGAGCCATATTGCCTTTTTTGCTCGGGCAGGAACTAAAAAAAAAAAAACCTTCTCGAGATAATGCTGTTTGAGAATCTTAGATAACTGCCTGTTATATTTTGGAAATTGTCCTTAGCCGTACATAACAAAGCCCACTAGTTGTTGTTTTACATCTGTAACGTTATCAAACTGACCCTTTGTGTTATTTTATTTTAAATCTGAAATTAAATGACTGTCGAATTCCTATAGTGTGAAACATGGACCCTTGCTTGCTTGGGTCAGTGCATTTATGCAAACGTTGTTTAAAAGATGTCATATATCGTTTAAAGTTCTGTAGACATCGTAATCCCTTCTCCTTTCATGCCTCCATGGTATCATCATCATCATCATCATCATCATCATCATCATCATCATCATCATCATCATCCAGTGCCAGATCTGCGACAGACATCGGCGATCATGGTTCTCCATTTATTCCTTTGCTCGGATGCTCTCAAGAAAGCTACTTTTCCATGATCTTTCCCTGTTACCCATTTGTTTAGGTTCCCCAATTATATTGTTCTGGGCCTACCCCTGCCTCGGTTGCCTTCAATTTGCCAATGAGAGCTAGATGTTCAAGACCCTTGTGTCTCTTCAGGTGTCCCAAATATGGTGTCCCCATAGTATAGTGATACTTATTCTGGCGATATAGCGGTGGGTTTATGCCACGATCATCTAAAAAAAGAGGGGGGGGGGTTAATGTCGGTGTATGTAACGCGCCTATAAATATTATCATGTTACCTAAAAAGTGGGACATTCGAATCAAACATCCTGCTACGATATAACCGAGTCGGACGTGTTGAGAGACTTGAAAACTCCACAAAACGATTCAAGTTTTAAAACGACCAGTCTGGAATTCGAACGAGGGCACCCGCTCCGTTGTCAAGCAAACGGATCACCACTCAATTGGTCACTTTTAAGCACTAGGGGGTTATCCAGAAAAATGCTATTTTGAGAAAATCGAAGGTAAAATTTTGCCCTTTGTTCAGTTTCTTTAAAAGACAAGGAGAGTTTTCTCTATAACCCAACAAATATACACACCAATGAAACCAAACTTCTCTATAGGTTGGGTAATGCTCAATTTTGTTTGGTTTGGGTCAAGATTTCTAGAAACCCCAAAATCTGGGTTAGCCCGCTTGTCCTTAAAAGCGACCAATTAGAGTTAGGAGACATAGCTCATGAGGGAACTCGTTCCAACAAACTTCACCATAGATGCTGACAGTGGTTAGTCCAGCTAGATCTATAATAAGTCCAGCTATGCGGCTATTGCCAGTTGTTTCTTTTTTTTATAGTTTGGTTGAAGTCACAACTTTACGGCGATTGCAGCACAAGTAGGATGATATTATAAGTGCCGCGAAAAGGAGAGATGTAACTAGAGAGTAATAACATAATAAAAGGATGAGCGGAGATGAGGACGAAAGATGTTTGATAGCAAAACCACACCAGATCACCCGCTAACGACGTATATTATCAGTTTAGGTGCAGTTGACTACGAACGGTGTTCAGGTCTCAAAACTGTAGTTCAACTCAGAAGGTGGTTGCAGTTAGAGAAGACGAGAGAGAGAGAGAGAGAGAAAGAGAGACAGAGAGACAGAGAGAGACAGAGAGACAGAGAGAGAGAGACACACAGAGAGAGAGAGAGACAGAGAGAGAGACAGAGTGAGAGATGGGGGAGACAGACAG